GTTCTTCTTTCACCCGTATCTGCAACTTTTACATTAAATACACGCATTATCTTTAACCGTTAGAGCAAACGATGTCATAGAACCAGTATTAAATTCTGTTCTTTTTCTACTCAATTATTAACAATAAAATAATTTTGTTAAACACAGCTATGAGAACGTAGTTCTTTATCTTCTTATATCTGTCATTCTTTTGTTATCAACATTCAATGCACCAAGTACATGTAGATTTACAAAAAAAAGCAACATCATTTTTCTATTGTAACGAAATATCAATGATAACATAATTTTGATTAGTGTAGTTGTAAAATAAGTATTTTGATAAGTAAACGGTTTTAAGTTATGTTAGCTGTAAGTACTTATCTCAAATTTAATACTAGGTTTACGAAACGCGTCAATTTGATGCACATTGAATTTTATAAATATTGTTTGGTAAATGTTTACATCCATTTTGATTGATGTAATTACATGGATATGTGCCCAAATTGTCTATTTTTAAATCTAAAGAAACATACGTCAATTTTTCTAGGAACAATAGAGTAAACTGTACAATAAATGTCAGTAAACCTAGTGTTAATTTAGTACAATGTTAGGAAATACACCTACAAATGTACACCATAAAAATGACAAAAATTCTCGTTGTCAGGATTAGAAAAAGGAAATTTTCGAGAGCAAACTACGAAGTCGCTTTTACATGTATGAATTTCACTTGCAGGATGGCTTGAACAATGAAACAACGGGGGTTGAAATCAAAGTAGCGGATATTCAGAATAGCCCGCCAGAATTTTTGGATTCTCTGACTGGTGTGGTGCGTGAGGATGATCCAATTGGAACGCTGGTTATGACTATCAAAGCCAGAGACGGAGACAGGGGGATGCCGAGGAGAATGATCTACGAATTGGTTACCAGTGAGTGGACGCCATTTTTATTTGTCCTGCTTAACACTTTTAGCACCATGTCATCTCCATACGAGCGATACATTTTTGCTTTACAACTAATAATCATCGATATATATATATATGCATATATATAACAAAATATTAAATGATGTAAAGTTTTCACTTACAGATAAACAAATTGAACGTTTCACAGTTGTATAGTAGGTTGTACCTTTGGGAAGTAGAATTTTAACCCTTTGCTCTCGGCATTTTTTCACTAGAAATATTTTAACATTTGATGACGAAATAAAGACGATATTTTGTAAAATTAACTCGAAGAGAAATCGCACGTACATCGAGAAACAAAGCTATTTTATTTCAATATTTCTCAAATTGATGCATTATACGTAGTATAATATTACATATCAAATTTTATAGTTTTACTGTATGAAATCAAGTGGTGAGTGAGAGTCACCTCTCGAGTGCAAAAGGTTAATAGGAAAAAATTGGGAATATAATAGTGATAATAATAAAATTGGGGAAATAATAATAATCATAATAAAATGAAAAGAAATAATAATGATCATAATAATATGAACAGAAATAATAGTGAAAATAAAATTAGGGAAAATAATGACGAAAATAATAAAACTAGGAGAGGCAATAATGAAAATAAAATTAGGGAGAATAATAACGAAAATAATAATGATTTTATAGATCCATTCGATTATTTCCTATTGGACGACGAATCCGGCGAACTAAGGACGGCGAAGCCGTTGAATAGAGAAGCGTTGAAGGACTCGACTGGTGTGCTTACACTGAAGGTAAAGGCACGAGAATTGATCGATGGAATGCCAGGCAGCGACGATTTAACGGTTTCAACGGCAGAAGCCACAGTGACGATAAAGGACGTCAATGACGAACCACCAACATTTAATCGCCGCGAGTACAACATCGAAATCCCAGAGAACGTACCGAACGGAACACTCTTGCCACATTTGGATATGACTGTGAAGGATCCCGATGTTGTGAGTCTACATTAAGGAACGATTTACACATATTAATCCTTTGAACTCGCAAGTCTTTTCGTTACATATATTCATCGAAATTTCTAATGCAACCTTGATTAAATGTTTTACTGTATTACGCTAAGTTTGATGTTGAATATCAAATTTTATAATTTTGCTGTGTTCAAATCAAATGATGATTGTGAAATGTCCTTCGAGTGAAGTTAAGTCAAGGTAATTGTTGATATTTTAAAAGTATTAAATACTTGAAATGATTTTAAAAATGGTTTTGCTTGAATTTTATAAGGCGTATCTGAAAAAACCGGAAGAAATGTATTTTTGCAATGGTTATTATATATGTAATCAAATGCTCGTTTGTTCCAGTGTTAAATCACCTTAAGCATGATTTTAAATTTCTTAATTCGGAACCTGAGAAATTTAAAAAATATATACTGAAAAATTTTAAATTAAGAAAAATTAGAAGCTTTTAATCAAATAATATCTGTGTATAATACTGCATAAGTATTTTTAAACGCGTACATTTTCCATTTCATATCTTAAAAACGTTCAAAATAATTCGACAAGTGAAAGGTACTTATTATTCTGTGTTTATGTATTCGCGTGAATATTGAATTACAGTTTCAAAGATTTGATATCCTAAGGGAAACGTATACTTTATTTTATGGTATAATGCATTTAACGTGTATAGAAGAGCAACTTTAAGTGATATAAGTCCATTTTTGGAAGAAAAATTAGTTAATGGTACATTTTATGTGATACATATATCCTCTTTTTATATTTATAATCACAGAATAAATGACGTACGATATCCTCATAAATTAATCTAAAAAAATGTTTCCCTTAAAAGTAGAATAAATTCACTTGTAACTAAAACATCGTTTATTTTCTTTAACGATTTTATTAATTATTATTGCATAATAAAATTTGACAAATTTATGGTTTCACAAACACTACCCAGATTGATTATTTAAATGATTTAACGTTTGCCAATATTTTTAAGTTGATTCAAACGCAAACTCTTGAATATCCCAATGTATGAAAAAATGGACTTATATTACTTTTAAAAAAACGGTTCATATCATACATTATCATAATAACAGCAGCACAGTGGTGGAATGTGAAGTTCATAAAACCCGAAATAAAGTTTACAGGAATTTTATTAGACTTCTCTCTAAAAACTTTAAATAATTCCACCTCTATTGAATATTTAAACTCGTTTACTCGATGTTTCAACTTCTCCGGCGAATGTTCGGCGGTATTTAAATTCAGGGCTTGAGTTAGTCAATTTAAAACTTTTATATTTTAGAACACAACCATCGTTTACCCACGCTTAAAGCGTGTTTCGGATCGTTATCTCATTGAAGCAACTAATCGTTTAACGTACTTTGTTTTAAATATCCCTAAATACAAAACTGTTCATGAGTTCCTTGATTTCTTAAAAGGATCTACTCCTAGAGCATAAATAATCGCTTGATAAGATTTTGTGTACTATGTTTTGCTGAAAGAAAAGGAGAATTTAGAAACGTCGTTTCTAACAAAAAATAATTCACTCTGTCACGGATAAAGATTAATAAAAATTATAAAATTTTTATTTTCATAATTGTTTTAAATAAGCATTTATTATAAATATCCATTTCCTATGAAAATTATATATTATAAAATAAATGATTATAATTATATTATAATAATATTTAAAAAGCATATTCAATTTAAATACAATTAATTATTACATTTTACAAATTTCATTTATACTTGTGGAAATGCTATCGACAAAATGTATACCTATCTTTATTTTTAACATTTCCCTAAACAATACAAAACGCCAAAACATTGGCGCGTAAAGGATGGCTGAATAATTTGTTGCTTTTACTTTGAATTCCGACTCGCCGATGTTTTGAATCTTGCAGCTTAGTTGGAAATCCTTTAGTCTGTTGTAATGTAATTTTGAAACGTGATAACATTATATCGTTGCAGGGTCTGAATTCCGTATTCTCGTTGCGTCTGGAAGACATTACGGATGGAGCGTTTACCATCGAGCCGACCATGGCGACTGGGAGCACATCTGTGAATATTCGGGTTGCAAATGGCTCGCTCGATTACGAGAATCCGAACCAACGGAAATTCATCATCCTGGTACACTTACGCTTCTCATAATAATCCTCAAAAGTCTGGAATCATTCATAACGTTCGCAAATCGTATGCAAAGACGATGGGACATGAAGTCACATACTTTCAGGGAAATACGGAGTGTTTCGGGGAAAAATGATTCTTTTTCAAGGATGCGGCGAAACATATAAAATGAAGTATTGCGAACACTAATGGTTTTGGAATATTTATAGTTTTATAATATTGTCGAGAATTGTAGTATTTCATTTCATCTTTTTTATTGTCTTCCTTAAAACAATTTATTTTTACGCTACACTCTGTATTTAAACGATTAGAAAATAATAAGCTGAAGTAGAAATGTCTCTTTTTAAAAATTATTTATAGTATAACATGGCTAAACTGGCAGATTTTGATAAATTATTATAAATTGATAAATTGGTAAATTGATATAGTAGATTATATTAAATGAATATAAAAATGTTTAATCTCAAGTTGTAATGTTTTTAACAGTTTTTACAATCTTATTATTCGAATTAACAATCGTAGATCTTCGACTATTTTTTATAAGTTTAGAAATGAAATGTTTCTTTTTCGAATTCTACAGGTCGTTGCAGAAGAAGTTCACACGAATCCGAAGCTTTCTTCGACTGCGACCGTGACCGTTTCCATTACAGATGCAAATGATAATTCACCCTCTTTTAGTAGATCAAGGTATAGTGCCGCAGTGACGGAAACTGCGCCGGAAGGCACTCCCGTTATAACCATTACTGCCAAAGATCGTGATAGTGGACGGTAAGAAACGTAACCATAAACAGACATTACAATGAAGATATTATAGCTAACCCCTTGACCTACAATATCATGTCAGGCTCGTAACGAAAATTTTAAACTGAATTTTACAAATCTAAATGCCATTCTTTTGTTTCTTTTAATATAAATTAAATACTACTATTCTCTTTATCGATCATTAACCGTTTGAGTGAACGTAGACATAGAATAAGCATCAAAATTTGTTCTTCTCCTAATAAATTATTAACGATAAAATAGTTGTGCCAATTACAGTTCGGAAATAAATAAAGGCAAAGGTTTAATTATACTTATAATTAACAACTACTTATATAGTTACAACGCATTCAAAATAAAATATTGTTTTTATACTTTTAGCTCTTTGCTATAAATATATCGATCGATAAAAAGATCGTAACATAATAGTCTTCAGCACTAGAACTACCGAACAGTGGAATTGACTTTTTGTAATTCCTCTACAGAACATTTTCCTATAGAAACTCCAAGAGTACATTTATTGAAACTTCAACTGGTTTACAGTTTAGTTTGCGTATTGCTAAACCAATTTCTTTAGTATCTTCTCAGAGAAGCGTCTATTACATTTTCAATATTTACAAAAACAAAAAATCGGGAATGGGTCATTTTGATCCGTCCAGTAGTCCTAGAATTCAGTACGCTTATTAGTTAGAATATTTCGAAACACTGTAATAAACCCTTCACTATGAAGACCGAACAACATTTGAATTTGTTTTTGTTCTAGTCATTGATGAAAGTTGCATAAATCAATTATCTTTTAGATTTGGTACAGCCGGAATCTCTTATCAATTGCTTGGACAAGGTGCAGAACATTTTTCTGTAGACAAAAAATCTGGAACCATTTCGGTAGCTCCTTGTCTGACACCTGGAACTTCACCTTGCTTAGATTACGAAGAACAGAGGCAATACTTCCTTACATACAAGGTAATTATTACACCTTAGGATTAATCATAATAAAAAATCTTAAAAGAGAACGTATCATATTTTCTTGAAATTGTACATCACAAAATGCACTTTTAAATGTACAAATTATAATTGTTTTCAAGTAATTTGGAAGCTCCGGTCATCGGTGATCAGCAATCAATGTGTTAACCCTTTGCACTGTAGAGGCGATTCGCAATCACCACTTTGTTCGATACAGCAAAATTATAAAGTTTGATATTCAACATGAAAATTCGTATAATATGATTATTCATACAATGTTGAAATAGAATATGTCAGTTGTAAAATATATCATTAATATTTCACTCGAAAATGATGGATATATCAAGCAAAAAGGCTTTCGAGTGCAAAGGGTTGAAAAAGATCGTAACGCTTCAAACAAACGATAAAGAAAAATTGTAAAAAGTACTCCTCGTCTTCTCTCGTTTTAGGCGACTGATAACGACGGACAAGGTCAAACAACCAGTGTCTCCTTACTCATCGTTTTGTCAGATGCCAATGACAGTCCTCCACGATTCTTGCAACACAAGTATCGCGCGGTGATAGACGAAGGAGCTGAGAAATTCGAGCCGGACTTGAAAGTGCAAGCCCGGGACAAAGATAAAACATCAAAAATCACGTACTCGATACTCGAGGGCAATGATCTCGGACTTTTTGCCATTGATCAAGACTCCGGCGAGATTACAATAAAAAATAAAGGTCCGATTGATTTGAAAAATTCAAGCCGCGATTGGATCGCTCTCACGATACAAGCGAACGATGGAATATTCGTTGATACTGCCACTGTTAATATTACTATTCGAGATGTCAATAATAATGCTCCAGTTTTCATGTATGACGTATACAACGCCAGCATTCTTGAAATATCTCCCATTGGTAAGGAACTCCGTTATTCGTGGTTACGATATATGTAGCTTAGTTAGTTATTTAATACTAGGTTGACGGATATTTATTGCGCAATTTATTCTATCGTTCCTAGAATAATTGGGGTCCGTTCATTTAGGTCTCGGAAATTAGGGGTTCAGAAATAGGTGATCAAGATACATATTCGTGTAATTGCATCAATCAAAATCGATTTAAACGTTTAACAAATGATATTTATAAAATTCAATGTACGTCGAATTAACGCATTACGTAAACCCAGTGTCAACACTAGAACTGCCGATCGGTTAATATGATTAATATGTAATCCTTATAAAAATTGTAACAATATTTTTTTTTTGGTTTCTACAGATATTTAACACTTTTAAGCTGTCACTACTTGCAAAATAAGAAAACTGAAACCCATCATTTTAACAAACACAGTAGTTCTAGTGTTAATTATGTCCATATTATTTAATCAATTGAGATTAATAAAATTTTAAATAGAATAACTGGTAATATTTTCGTTCAGAACTACTCATAGTTACCAATTGTAAACAATGAAATTATATTTTGCACTTGAATAATCTTAAGATCTGGTACAGCTGGATTTTTTACACTATACCCATATCTTTTTTTAGGAACGGTTGTGCAGGAAGTCACAGCAACTGATGCAGATACGGGAATCAATGCGGAACTCGTTTACAGAATACAGAAGGGTGCTTTCGATGATTTCACCATTAATGAAAAGACAGGCATAGTGACAGTGTTCAGAAAATTGGATTACGATAATAAGGATAGGTACCATGTGGAAGTGATAGCCTTCGACAAAGGTATATCAACAAATATCTGAAATTTAGTTTATTGTCCTTTGAAATAGTAAAAAAAGGAACAGGATTATATTCAAAAAAATTAATGAATATAACTTCATTTTTACAGGAACTCCCAGCTTAACTGGAACAACAACGTTGATGATAAATGTTACAAATAGTAATGACAAACCGCCGTATTTCACGCCAGAAACGCAGCGTGCTGAAGTCACGGAAGATACGCCAATCGGTACCGTTTTCACGTCACTAAAAGCCACAGATCCTGACAGTGCCAATTCAGAAGCGTTGAACTTCGCCATTTCTGAACCTATCACAGCGATTGATAGAAATGGGCAGAAGGTCAACGACAGTAAATCATTCAAGGTATAATTGAATGATTAATATTTTGATTACAAACAGATATCTGACACTGAAAATCGACGAAACTTGATATAAATAGTTAACTTTAACCTTTGGTTAAATAATAAATAGAAAGTTTCGTGTTCCATTTATTGTAATTTAAATTTGGTATATTATACATTGTTTTAAATTTAAGTTTTAATGCATTAGATACCTTTTTACTTTCTTATATCTGTTAGCGAAAAAGAAAATTATAGTTTATAATATATACCAAGTGCCATTATAATTTGTTTATGTATTAATAAAATATGTATGTATGTTTTCAGGACTTCTTCGCAGTCGATCGTGCAACCGGTCAAGTATCAGTCGTCAGACCTTTAGATCGCGATGTCGCGGCAACAGTGAGCATCACCATAGTTGTTAGCGACACAACGGCACCCACGTTACAGCAAGGAAGAGGTATAAACAAATGAATATAAATAATAAATGAACAAATTATGGATTTACTTCCTCGAAATAGAGAAATTAAAAAAATTATTAAATACTGAAAAATACGAAAAATTTGTTTATTGTTTTTAAACTATTCCAAATGATACAATTTGTATATTGTAACACAATCTGTAGTGAATATTTTCTTCCAATGTTGAACAGGTACTCTAGTTGTCACGATTATTGACGTGAATCACATGGCTCCAGAATTTTTAAAACCATGGACAAGAGAGAATCCACGATATTTAATAGAAATGCAAGAAGAACAACCAAAGGGAGCGGTTGTGGGAGCATTTACTGCAGTAGATTCGGACAGCAATATAGCGGGATATGCGATTGAACCTCCAAGTCCTTATTTCAATATAGACAATGTCACAGGTTCGTTGCCAAACCTTATAACAAAGATAGACAACACCCTAAGTTAATTAGAAGACCTCAGTTAACCCTTTAAATGGACACATACATGTTTTTAGCTGCGAGTATTCAGCACTCAAAGGGTTAACAAATTAATGAAAATTACAGGTATTGTCCGGACTAGCCAAGTGATTGATTACGAAGAAACAAAACAGTTGGAATTCCAAGTGATCGCTTATGATTCCGGGGTACCTCAGTTGTCGACGACAACAAAAGTTACTGTCACAATAATAAACGTGAACGACCAAGATCCTAAATTCGAGAAAGAATTTTACAACGCGTCTGTGGAAGAGAACTCGCCAGCGGGGACGCATGTTACTGTTGTGAAAGCGATAGACGGAGACGAAGGACCATTTGGAGAAGTTAGTTATAGTCTGATTGGAGAACATGCTGCTGATTTTAATATAGGTAAATTAGTTTTGAGTGAAATTAAATAACTAGAGAATAATTTTTTATATTGAAAGTAATTTAAAATTAGAAATTACTTAATATTTTGTTACTTTGTTCGTGTTTCATTTACATTTACTGTTGCCCTATGAACAATATACATTAGAAATTAAAAATAGCTGAATCAAATTTGTCTATAATACTTTAGTTTTTAATTTAATAAACAAAAACAATGTATTGGTATTTGCTTATACGCATTACAGGCCATGAAACTGGAGAAATCACCGTTGGCAGCGCGACCGTTCTTGACCGAGAAATGACACCTGAAATCACGATAACTGTAATGGCTAGTGATGGGGCTCACGTAAATTCTCGTCGAAGTACAACCGTCCCGGTGCTTGTGAAGCTTATCGATGTCAATGACAATCGTCCAATATTTTCACAGCATAGGTACAGAGCCTCGGTAGCCGAAAATTTGCCTGTGAATCCACCTGCTCCAATTTTACAAGTGAGTGAATTTTGTCTAAAGTAATTTCATATTATAATAAATTTAATTTTTCTCTTATTTCTTCATTTTTGTTATTTTTGTTAATTTTTGTAAATCTCATTAAAAATTTTTAAAGACTTTTAAACCTTTGATCAACTAATATCTAGCTTCTATTATACTTCAAAACGTACAACAAGTAACTAATATTCTATATTTTTTGTGTGTAAGGTAAGAGCGGCGGACCACGACGAAGGAATCAATGGAGAGGTTTGGTATACCATAATCAGTGGTAACGAGAATGAATCGTTTTCATTAAATCGTGAAACTGGTATTCTATACCCTGGTGCAGCTCTTCTTGGCAGAGCTGGCACGTATAGAATCAAGGTGAAAGCAAGAGATGGTGCCGGCAATGGTCCCCATTCAGACAAATGTGATATTGATATACGAATAACACCAGTGAATCAACACAAACCACAATTTGTTCTACCAGAATTATCAAATTCCACTGTTGAAATCCCTGAGGTAAATATTATATATTTCAAAACCTCTCAGTTAATATAGTCTGAAGATTTTATATTCCTCTGATATTAATTTTAATTGAAGAATTAGAACTAAACATATTTAAAAAATTATATAGATAAAATAAAATAGTTATGTCAAAAATAATTCACTTAACATAATACAAAATTCATCCTCTAGAAAAATGTTTAATCTTTATGGTGCCTTGTATACTTGTATGGAATATATAACAGAATAAAATGAAAAATATTAAATAATATTTTTTTAGAATGCTGGTGTTCAAAATTACTTGATATTAACAGTAAAAGCGATTGATAGAGATCCTGGTGAAAATGGACATGTAAGTTATCATTTGAAAGTCGGGAATCGTAACACTCAAGAAACGGAGGAGTTTTCGATAGATCAAGATACCGGTGAATTACGATCGAAGATTATTCTTGATCGCGAAGCTAAAAGCAAATTTGAGGTAAAATATTTTCAAATATAATATAGTTTACTTATAAGCCTATTTAAATTTCAAATTTAATTTCAATTAAGTTACTATTTTATTTCAATTCAATTTCAGCTTGTTCTAGTAGCTACTGATCACGGTACACCCACAGCATACGAAACTTTGCGGCTTCTTACTGTACAATTAGTCGACACAAATGATAACGCGCCGCAATTTTACGATGAGTATCATTTTATGTTATCAGAAAATCGTCCGAAGGATTACTTTGTAGGGAAGGTAACAGCGGAAGATAGGGACGAGGGCACACACGCGAAAGTTTACTACTATATAGAAGCTGGTAAGTGGTATCAGTTCAAAAAGGAATTGTATTACCACTAAACTTGTTTTATGCAATTCATAATGTTTAGAAATATAATTAGAAAAGTAGAATTCCAATAAAAAATATTTATTCTTAAGAAACGTTATAAAAAAAAATACATTTTGAATGTTTTATAAATTTTTTCGTATCAGGTGCATTCTGTGCAATTTTGCACTTTCAAATTTTGCACAAATGCATAACAACCAATAATCATTACTATACATTAAAAATGGTTAATGAAAATATTTTACAGGAAACGAGGACTATGCGTTTTATATGGATAAAACCGATGGTAGTATTTACGCGAATAAATCCTTCGATCGTGAAATCCGAGATAAGTACATTCTGTCGATTCTGGCTTCCAATGATCCTGATATTTACATAAGTCCAATGGACGCTGGACGTCCAGTGACTCAAAACACGGACCATGGACACGTTAATGTAACTATAACCATTCTAGACGAAAATGATAATCCACCAATTTTCGAGCGTAACGACTATTACGCTGGTGTTAATTCAATGGCAAATGTAAACGATTTCGTAACAAAAGTAACAGCGTCTGATTTAGACGTTGGTGACAATGGAACGCTCCATTATTATGTTGCCAGCGCTAATTTGTATAAATATGGATCGGAGAAACCTAGTGGTTCCATAGTTCCAAGTCCTTTCAATGTAACTCAGGATGGTAAACTTGTAACGAGCGGATACATGGCTGAATATAATCAAGACAGATTTATTGTTGAAGTAATAGCAAAGGAAACTGCTATTCCAGAAAGATATGCCATGACCAGAGTTCACGTATGTTTTCCTTCTTGTAAAATTTACGTAACTACTTATATCCTGCATTTATATCTAAGTGATATTCCAATTGAATTGTCTGTTTAAAACATGCAAAAATTATTTCTTAAAAAGTATGTATTTTTCATTTTGGGAAGGCAAATATATAAAAATTTCAAATTGCCTAATTTTTAAATAGAATATATTTAAAATGGTTCATATAAAGATTAAAAGTATTTTTTTTATAATCATAGCTTAGCTCTTGTTAATTTGTTAACAAGTTTCAGAAATGTTTACTGTACTGTTAAAAGAAAAAGAATATTTTTTTTTTTACTTATGTTATATCTTTTCGATATGTATCTATTGTTTATTCTTTTAAAGGTTTGGGTATTTGAACCCTCGCAACTTATCAGAGTTATCTTGTCGCGACCTCCAGAAGAAGTAAATCGTGAACGTGATGAAATCGTATCGGAATTATCAAATGTAACGCAAAGCAGAGTTGTCGTTGATGACATCCGGTACCATGTGGATGCATCCGGTCACATTCGACGAGAATGGTAAATAAGTAGTTTTAACTTCTTCAAGGATTAATCTCTTGCCTAATATAATATTAACACTTTAACAACAAAGCCGTTATGTCGAAAATTTACATCTAGTACTAATAGCAAAACTAGTCATCTAATTATTCTTCATCAGAAATGTCCGAAACAATTTGTATTTTACCAAACACTTTACTATTACAACAACATATTTATTTCACATTTTACGTCACTAATTATTTGACACAATAAACCGTCATCAATAAAAGACAATATTTTATTTGACGCAATATGAAGTTATACATCGTTAAACTATTAAAATCTGCAGTTATTTTGTTTTCCTCTTTTATGATACCAAAATAAAAATTGTTAAGCAATACTATATCATATCAAATCATAACAATAGTATACAAAGTATAATATTTAAATGTGTTATATAGGTGTGATATGTATTTACATGTTGTGGAACCAAAAACTCAGACTATTGCTCCGATTCCACAAGTACTTAAAGTCATTGATGCAAAATATGATTACTTGAAAGACTATTATGCAGGCTTTGCCATTGAAAATGTTGTGGTGAGAATTTTGTACTATTTATCAAATGTATTTAGAAAACACAATAATATTTATCACTAAAATATTCTGTTAGCCTGCTTATGCTGGAGTACAGGAAGAACCTTTTGATCCTGCACTGGCAGCATTGATAGCTTTATTAGTAGTTCTACTAGTTGGCGCTGTAACAGTAACAGTAGTTTGTTGCTGTTTACGTCATTGGTAAATATTTTTAAGGAATTATTTAATCATTATAATAAAATGTACAATGTAAAATACCTTACATGATATTTTAGGGTAATTACTGTGTCAAATGATATAAGGAAGAAAGATGGATTAATAAAGAAACAAATTATTGATGAATTAAATACTACGGAAAATCCATTATGGATTGAACAGTAAGTTACTACTTATCTTTCAAAAAAGAATAATATAACTGGATATAATTATTCCTTATTACTTTGGTGTATCTAGGAAACTTAAACCATACGAGGAACAGGAATTAACTATGCAAGTATTTAGTGAACCGGAAGGTGGTCTAGTAACAGAAAGACGTGGAAGTGGTGTAAGCATTGGTATGGGTGACACATCACAGGATAATACTTATGCTACTATACAACGTCCACTGCCTACCAGTAGGCATTGTCCCACAACACCTGATTATACAACACTTCCAGGAAATCACAATGTATGTATACAATTTAATTAATGTGTTCATATATGTATAATTTACATCGAAGAAATTGATTTACTCAAACAGTGTTTCTTAAAAATGTTGAAAATAACTAGAAAATTTTGTATAAAATAATATTTGTTATATTGTAGCTTTATGAATCAGCAATGGGTTTCCAAGGATCAACCTTCCAGCCATCCTCAAATGCAATACCACAACTTACACTTGATCGTGATGGCCAACCCCAGTTTGTTTCAGGATTAGTATAAATTAAGTTTCCTGCCAAGTCCATTTTTTAATCAATGTATAACTTCATTCACATATGTTGTACATCTTTATTCCCAACTCCAACTGTAGCACGCGTCTGTGAAAGAAAAGAACACTCGAATGCACACACCTTTTGGACAATAATTGAATAATATTGTTAGGTTTGTTTGCGAGTAGACGCGTGTACAAGACGAGTGAGAATTTTCCGAATTACCTAGGGAACCCTCTGACCATTTGCTAATTCAGTTTGAACTCAACAGCGAAGAATATTAAACGAAGTGTAACGACGAATGACAGTCAATATTATTGGAATAAATATTCCCCTGTAGCTGGTGTGTGCATGTATATATGTGTGCGTTGCCAACCTGTGGTCCCATCTAATTAATCGTTAGATTCATCACTAGGAAAATCAAAAACCGCTAGATAATAGACACTGTGAAATAGCTTAAACGACCTAAGCTTGGCACGACAGATATATGTATATAAGTGAATGTGTAGACTCCGTCCAGCGCAGTTTTTTCATTATTTCCTCACTAGTTTAATATTTATACACCCTTACGTACGTTTTACATGTGGAAAAATGGGGAAACGTACTTGTAGTGTCATTACTCTGTTTGTGTCGTTACACAAACAAGAGGATGCCATATTATGGCATCATTACAACAAAGTGTTATAGGTAACGAACAAGCTCATACTCTTAAAGCAGGGTTTGAAATTGTTTTGAAAATAATATTGTTCCTGTCAGAACATTTCGTAAAAATACTCAAAAGAAAATTTTGTTATAATTGTGAAAAGTTTTATATAAAAATAGGAAAAACTATCATGTTCCTCGAAAAGTAACAATTTCGGTCGGAGTAGAATATTTAATTCCTAGAAAATAACTCTGTTCTGATTTTATTCACTTTGTTTTCAAATGTTTCCTATTGCAAGTATGATTATTAATTTCCATACTATAAAAGATACATTATTAAACGTTTGTATGGAAAAATTATTGATGTTCTGTAATCGTTGTTATAAATTATTTGTAAAAATTGGAAATCAATTAAACTTCTATAATTATTGTGATTCGAATTTGAATTTAAAGATTTGAAAATACAAGGTTGTCAATCATTTATTTCTTCTTTATGTATCAGCAATCTGAGTTTGGA